GCTAAGCATGTGACCTAGGGCTGGGCCAGTCAGCATGATTTTAGAGAAACAGGAGCATGTGCTCTCTGTTGACTGTTAGGTTTCTGGTGTGAGCTTCCAAGCTTGGAAAACAGGGCCTAGAATGGCCAGGGAGGTGGTGAACTGGGAGGTGGGGACGGTAAAGGTGAATGGATGGAAACTAAGAAAGGGTGGATTAGGGAGTCTGGTTGTGTTTTGTTGTGCCCTGCCCTGATGAAACTGTTCCTGGTTAACCTCTGCCTATCCAGCTTTGTTTATGAGGTGCATTTGATCTCTCTCTCTCTCTCTCTCTCTCTCTCTCTCTCTCTCTCTGTCTCTCATCCTAGATAATTCTGTCTGATTCAGTGACTGTCCCCATTTTAGAGATAGGGAAACTAGTCCTCAGAGAAGCTAAATAACCAGCCACAAGCCACATGGGGGAAATGGTGGGATCCAGGTCCATTCTACCACCTTGCTCTTTCTTCTCCTTCTCCTTCTTTTGATATTTTGAGACATGGTTTATTTGTGTAGACCTGCCTGTAGACCAGGTTGACCTCAAACTCAGAGATCCACCTGCCTCTGCCTCCAGGAATGACACCTACATGAATGCTGGGAATATGGGAATATGGGCATGTGCCATGATCGGTGGTGGCCCGCCTCTTTTTGTAAAAGCAATCTAAACAATGTATTAACTGCTGAGTCCTGGTTTCCAGGAACTAGAAATTCCCGGAAAGACTGAATAGAGCTGGAAGAGGAAAAACACGAGGAGGCAGAGGACACTCTCGTGAAATGGAGGAGTGCTGCATGTGTGCCCTGGCCACATTCTTCCCTGGGGAAGCGACAGGGTCTGTGCTTCCATATGGCTCTCAGGGCAGGGTTGAGCAGAGTTCCAGAGTGCCTGCAGGGTGTGTATGTTGCTGTTGTGTTGCAGAAACCTTTCTGGAATAAACTCCCAGACACCAATGAGAGTTCAAGAGAAGAGATGTCACTGTTGGACCAAAGCCACAACGACTCCTAAAAGGCCTTGGTATCAGGTCCAGTTTGTATTTTCATTTTATGTTCTAAAACCACAAGCTGGGGGGATTGAGTAAGGTTGTTAAGGGCAACGATCCATTGTTTCAGCCGTTCCTCCAGGTCATTCTGTTCCAGGTAGCAAGTGAAGTCATGCTTGGCAAGCAGGCAGTACAGGCAGTGCTTTCAGTGAGCCACCAAATAAATCACCATCTAAGAATTGGTCTTCTCTGTCTTACTCTATCTGGTTGTTGGTTTGGGTTTTGCTGTCATCGTCATCGTCCTCATTGTTTTAGACACAGGCTGAAGCTTTGAGAGATAGTCTTCACAGGTTGCATCCTTGAACTTCTGGCGGCAGATGGGGAAGAGCATGTGTCGTGAACATGCCACATATGTGCTTGCTGTTAGCACTGTTACTCATGCTCTTACCACTCTACATGAGAAGCACACAGAGGCTCAGGGCGGGAGTTTGTGGGCAAGTTTAAAGTCTAGCTTCTTCTCCTTCTACCATTCTGGTGGTAAATGATATTGGGGTAGCCATCTTGGATGTATAGCTAGGAGCTCTTCTTTAGATGGGAATTTCTGGTCTGCTTGAAGTTGAGGGTTGTTTGTCATAGACTCTGAAAAGTTCTTAGCTATTATGTCAGAAAGTGTTTCCTGTTTCACTCACTCTCTTTGCTCTTTCTGGAGCCCTCACTGCACACATGCTAGCTCTTCTCACTGGATTTTCCATTCCCACACATCTTCTCCAGCTTCATATGTCGTTTCTCTCTTTCTCTATGTTGTATTCTATATGATCTTTCCCCCCTTCTTAGTCCAAATTCACTCTTTTTCTATTTAAGTGTCTTTATTCTACCATTCAGTCTGTCCACAAATTTAATTTTGTTTCCTTGTTTTTGTTTTTGGAGTCAGGGTTTCTCTGTGTAGCTGTGGCTGTCCTGGAACTTGCTCTGTAAACCAGGCTGGCCTTGAACTCAGAGATCTGCCTGCCTCTGCCTCCCAAGTGCTGGGATTAAAGGCGTGCACCACCAACATCCAGCTATCTTATTTTTTTTGTTTGTTTTTTTTGTTTTTTGTTTTTTCCGAGACAGGGTTTCTCTGTATTGTTTTGGAGGCTGTCCTGGAACTAGCTCTGTAGACCAGGCTGGCCTCGAACTCACACAGCTATCTTATTTTTAACTTCAATTTTATTTTCATTTCTTCCTGTCTATCTACTTAGCCATTGTCTATAATCTCTGATTTATCATATTTTTGTACCAACCTTTCTTTCTCAAACATATTTATTTGATATTATTTATCTACTAATCTCAACATCTGAAGTTGTGGACTAAGTTTCATTTCTTATTTCCACTGTTTTCTTGCCTGTGGAGGAAAAATGAGTCTGGTTTTAAGGTCCATTCATCTAGAGAGGACTGACTTTGCTCTTATCAATTTCTAAAACATGGTGGACTTTTGGCCTCAGAGTCCCAAGTTGGGAAGGGAAGCAATTTGAGCCCTTGAACTCATGGACAGGAATTCTCAGTTGCACTCTCTTCTTCTTACTCTTTTTGTTTGTTTGTTTGTTTGTTTGTTTTGTTTTTCGAGACAGGGTTTCTCTGTGGCTTTGGAGGCTGTCCTGGAACTCGCTTGGTAGTCCAGGTTGGTCTCGAACTCACAGAGATCCGCCTGCCTCTGCCTCCCGAGTGCTGGGATTAAAGGCGTGCGCCACCAACGCCCGGCTTTCTTCTTACTCTTTGTTAAGACTTAGGTCAACGCACCCTGTTATCTTCTTCAATCATTAAGAGATGGTCCAGGATGGGCTGTAGTCTCTCCTCGTCAGTACTGGGATTAGGCTAACATCTGTGAGTTCTCAGTTCTCCCCAGAAAGGCCTGTTTGCTTGCTGCCTTCCATCTGTGGGTTGCTCAGTGCTGTTCTGTAGACTCCTTAAGCTCTGTAAGTTTGTCTGGTCTTCGCTACACACATCGTCACTCTTTTATCGCATGTCCTTATTTATGAGCCCTCTGACAAGGGGCTTGACCCTTCTCCACACATGGGAGTGGATAGGAGGAGGACGTGGAAGCCTCTCCAGCTAATACAGACAGAGGCTGGGTCAGTGTAAGCACTTCCAAATGGAGCTTGTGGTGGAGAAAGTTTGTGTGTGTGTGTGTGTGTGTGTGTGTGTGCGCGCGCGCGCACGCGTGCGTGTGTGCGTGCATGTGAGCATTCGAGCATGTATGCATGCCTATTTGTGTACATGCACGTGTGTGGAAGTCAGAGGACAACTTGTAGAAGTTCTTTACCATGTGGGTCTCAGGAAATAAACTCAGGTTGTCAGATCTTCCACCAGGAACCTTCCACCAAGTCTTCTACTGGACCCTTTTTCATCTGTTGTGAGACGTTATGAGGAAGGGGATTAGAGGAAGTGGTTTGCAGCTGATCAGGAGGCAGATGATGGACATTGTTTATAATGCATTTGTGCTGTTTGATTTGTTACAGTCTGTATATATTACTTTTCTAATTAAAATGACCCAAATGAAACACACACAAAAAAGGGCTTTCCTACTCTCATTTGGAAAATTGCCTGTGTTCGTAGGGAATAAGGCATCAGTGAAGTCAATCAAACAGCCATGGATTTGCCAGGGTTTTATGTCAGGGGAGATTATGGGTGTGGAGTAGAGCCATCACAGCCTGCTGTGTCACTTGGTCCCTAGAGCCCCTGTCTCTTCAGAACTGAGTGAACAGTATGAAGGATCTTCATGCCCAGTAAATGACACACCTAGATCTCAGGACCTGCCCTGCCAGGCGGAAGCAGGAGACCCTCGGAAGTACATGCACGACAGCAGTAGGTAGGAAATGAAAGGAGTAAAAACTACTGGGGATTAGAAAATAGATTTTCTCTTGGAGCTATGACCTAGGACTTGTAAGGGACAGAATGCTGGGGCTTGAACATGCCCAGCCTTCGGCTTTGATTCTCACAGGGATCATGGAGAGTGCAGGAGTAGCGATGGCCAGTGGTTCCATAAGCTCTGATGTCTCCCAGGGAGACAGTGGGCTGGCTACTGTGCTCCAGGATATAAGAAAGGGAGTCTTGGCCAGAGAAGCGGCAGAGTTTGATGTCAGAGTCCAGTGCGGGGAACAAGAAAACTAAAGAGACAGGGCATTGTGGTTTCAATTCAGTCTTCAAGAAAAGAAATGAAGGCCCAGGGAGGAGAGCAGCAGAGGACTCAGAAGGGTCAGCACTGGAGGGCTGGGGAGGGTTTCTGAGACTGGAATTCATGGAGGGTGTTTCAGTTTCTCTCTCTCTCTCTCTCTCTCTCTCTCTCCCTCCCTTCCTCCCTCCCTTCCTTTCTTTCCTTGTTTGTTCCTTTGTTTGTTTGTTTTTGGAGACAGGGTTTCTCTGTGTAACGGCCCTGCCGGTTCTGGAACTCACTTCATAGACCAGGCTGGCCTCGAATTTACAGAGATCCTCCTGCCTCTGCCTCCTGAGAGCTGGCCTCTTTCAGTTTCTTTAGTAAAGAGAAAATAAGGCAGAATGAGGAGCCGAAATAAGGAGCAGGTTAAATGGCTTGTGGTAAACATCCTTGAATAACCAGGCTGCCAACCAGAGCTGGCCTTGTAGGTAGTAGTACAGCCAGACATGGGCCAGTGTTTGGGCTGCTGATCTTCTAGACAACACTAGGATTTCAGTGGCTTTCCCCACGTCCCCCTAGGCTGCCCTAGAGAGGTGGAGAGGAAAAGCAAGAGGCTCGGGCAGAAGGCAGAGCAGCCCTTTACCGTGAGAATTTGGAATAGGGTTCTGCCTCCTTCTCTTCCCTGCGCCACCCACACGCCTGGCTTCCCTAGGAGGAAGGAGTTTTATGTTGATAGGAAAGAACACGGCGGCTCTTCCCAAGTGCACAAGAACAACAAAGGGCCGAGCTGGGTGATTCCCGTTTTTTCACCAATGAGAATGCCATGGACTCCTCTTGGCTTCTTTCAGTGGATGTGTAAAGAAGACAGATCAGTCAACAAGAACGGATGCTTAAGGTCATTTGCAAGAAGAAAGATGCAGACAAAAAACGACAGTGATTGTGGGAGCAACAACATGCAGGTCATTAACACCGAGAAGAGACCCCGGGTGTCAGCCGACAGTCCCCACTTCTGCAGCTGCGAGGCTTGGAGTTCCGTGGACTGGGTTTCACCAGAAACAGATCCTGAGATAGGGACACTGGTGCCAATGTATTAGCAGACACACGAGGAGGTGTCTGTGTGTGTTGGCAGGCTGAGACAGGGAGGGGATGAGAGACTGTGAAAAGTGCTGTATTGAGCTAGCTGTCTCCAAGATTGACTGCAATGCACCCAACAGGCAAATGTCTACACAGCACAGAGCCAGCCTGTCCACCAGGCACAAGGGGCCAGTCACCCTCTTGCACTGCGGTCCATCAGGCATTGGCTGCGGGTTGCTTTCTGGTGTAGGCAAAGGGTGAGTGCCTATTCCCCTGTCCTATCTTGCGGCAGTGGAGATCAGGAAGGGTGCAGTGACTAGAAAAACATTAAGCCCTACAAATCCAGGGCTTGATTTGTGGATTAGCAGATGTTTACTGACGTGGTTAAGAGATAAGAGTGCCTGTAACCTCTGTTTAGAGGCAACTGTGGGGACACTTTGACTCCACACAGTGCGGAGTCTAGCAGCCTCTTCAGTATCTGGGTTAGGGGTCTGGGCACGTGTGTTCCTGTGATCACTTCTCCCTCCGGATCTCTGCTCCCGATGCACTATCACCCCTCCATCCGCCAGTTACCCTGCAATGAGAGATGCAAAGGCTGTTGTCTTTAACATCTTTATCAAAAACATGGTCCTTGAGCTGGGGATGCACTGAAGTGCCTGCCTAGCACACAGAAAGCCTTGGCTTCAATTCCCAGCACCACATAAACTAGGCATGGTGGCATTTGCCTGTAACCTCAGAACTCAGGTGGTAGAAGGAGAACAATCAGGAGTTTGGGGCCATCTTCAACTACATAATGGGGTGAAGCCAGTCTACATATCTTGAGCATGTCATGTCAGAAACATAGATGAACATATTTGTCTTTCCACACTGTCAGAATTTATTGAATAACAGTAAATTCACAAGGCTTAGTAATTTTAATGAAAACAATTCGTTCTAAAATCTGCCTACCTTGGTAGCCTGGCTAAGGTGAATGTAAGTACTTTATTCTAATTTTGATTATTAGTATTACTGCTCACAGTACACAGCACATAATTAACTGTATTTGTTTACCCATTTACATATCTATGGCTATAGAATGAGTATAAAGAGGCTGCAGAGGAGTTCAAGAGGTTTCTGAACCCGAGAAAGAATCTGTCGATAAGAAAACAAACCAGACCATCTCGGAGAGGAAGCTGCTGGAGCTCAGGTTTAAGAGCAAAGCTGTGGAGGAGACCTTTGAGGTGAAAGGTCAACCCAAGTCTAAAGATGGAAACAGGTCAGGAGAAAGAGATGGGCCATGCTTAGGGCCAGACAGGTGCACAGACAGAGGAGTAGGCTGTGTCAGCAGCAGGGGACTGAGCCAAGTTAGGGATTTCCCGGTTTCTGCTCTAAGGCAGAAGCATTGAAAGAGATTGGAGAAATAAACCAAAAGATGGTGTCACTTCCTGCCTTAGCTCCTGTCCCATTAGTGTGAAGAGACACCATGGCCAAGGCACCTTGTAGAAGAGAACATTTAACTGAGGGCTTGCTTACAGTCTTGCAGGGTTAGTCCATGGTTACTGTGGTAGGGAGCATGGCGGTATCAGGCACTGTGCTAGAGAGGGGGCAGAGAGAAAGCTACATTGGGTCTAGTGGGGGCTTTTGAAACCTCAAAGCCCACCCCCAGTAACACTTCTCCAACAAAGCCACACCTATCTGCAGGAGGCGTGTACGGAGGTTCTATAAAAGACTGTGAGGCAGAGTCGCTCTCTCTCTTTTCAGCTTCCGGTTCAGTGGCGGAAAGCTGCTTGACTCATCTGGGTTTTCTGTTGTAAGTAATTTCTACAATAAATAGTTACCTATACCCTCAACAAGTGTGTTGTTTATCGTTACAGCAACACCTGTCTAGTGAGGCCACACCCCTAATCCTTCCCAAACAGTTCCCCTAACTAGAGACTAAGCATTCATCTATATGAGTCTTTGGGGACCATCTTGTTCAAACCATGGCACTACCTGTCAATGTTTACTGAATGACACTGTGTTGATTTCTAGCACTGAGCTCTACATAAAACTCCTATGGAGTAGAAAGACTGGGATTTCACACCTGGGCCTAATGCTTGCTAATCCCAAGCCCTAAAAAAAGAAGCCACACTCCTTTGAGAGCAGGAAGATGTGACCCAGAAAAATGAAAATTTAGCTTTGGCTACTTTCCTCATGCCAATAACTGCTTCCTGTCTCTTCCAGTGGACAAAGTGGCTAAATAGAAAAATCACTGCAAATTTGAATTTGCTTTTATTCTCAGGGAATGTATGCATTATCAAGGGAAAAGCATCCATTTTTTCTTAGGCATTAGTTTTCACGGTGATCATTCTGATTAATAAAACAGAAGTTTGGAGAGAATCTCTCCCACTGGCTGGGGAGCTCGTCAGACCTGAGATCCAGTGTGTACCCTGTGGGATGTTGGAAAGAACAGAGTGCTGGTGTGAAGGATGGTCTGTCACACAGCAGTTCTGCACCTATCTGTCCCCCATCCTTCGTGCTTATGAATAATGTATTGAACAGTCTGAACTTACTGTGCAGTCAGTGTTTGTAATCTTCCTCTCCCTTCCTCTCATCTTCGTGCTGTGACAAGTCTCCCATTCTTTTCCCTTGGTCTGAGTTGTGAATCATAAATTTCATCATTACAAGGAACTTGATGCTTACCTCCCCTGGGCTCATCCTGGCTTCTGGTCCTACCTACCCTCTGGTCCACACTCTGCTGTGGGGATGATTTTAACTTAAGACTTCTGCTTGTGATGATGACTGCTTTCCAACCATATTAGTCTAGGTAGCTGGTTCTATGATGATAGTGCCTCTCTGGGACCATTTGGACACCATATGGAAAGCCTTTTGGAAGGGGCCTCTGACCTCAAAGTTCTTGGATAGAAGACCCATTGTGTAACCCTGTCCTCTTGGTGTGGTGATATATTATTTATGATTTAGTAAAGACTTCCTGAAGTATCAGAAAGCAAAACCAGCCACACTAGTTGGCTGTAGAAGCTGGGTAGTGGTGGCACACACCTTTAGTCCCAGGATTCAAGAGACAGGCAGATGGACCTCTCTGAATTCAAGGCCACCCTAGCCTACAAGACTGAAGAGTAACAGAGCTCATGCCTTTAATCCCAGCACTAGGGAGGTGGGGACAGGAGGACATGGCTGGGTGGAGAAAGGACTATAAGGAGCAGGTGATAGGAATTCAGAGCCTTTTGCCTCTGAGGATTCGTGAAAACAGGATTGCCATTTCAGCTGGGTAGAGGTAAGAGCTACTGGCTTGGCTGCTTTGCTTCTCTGGTCTTCAGCTTGAAGCTTAAATCCTAATATTGGTCTCTCGGTCTTTATTTTTTGTGTTATATCTTGGCATGACTTGGTCATTACCCTCTTGTACTCTTAACAGCTATGCGACCCCACATGACTCGAGTGTGTAGGACTGGGCCCATTCATGTTCCATCATGGAGAAGAGAGAGGCTCATGAAGATGTATATAGATGGTTTACAATTGTTGGGACAAAGGGTCATAAGTTGTCACCCCTCTGTAAGGGTTTATAGGGAGTTAACAGTTTGAGAATAGTAAGAGAGACATCTTCAGTGATGTAGCTTCCAGCAAGTTGAGTTCCTGTAAGCCATTCCCATGATCCTTTAAGTAACCCAAATTTAGTTCACTGGTCTCCAAACTACATTTGAGTGGAATCATTTACTTAGTCTCTTATTGGTGCCCTAACTGGATGGTGAATAGATGTCCATTCATTTCCCCGGGGAAAGTTCATACAACAACCCATTCCAGCCTGGGAGAAGGGTTTGTCTCATCACTTTCTTTGTTCTTTCCCTCATCACTTCCACCTGGATAGTTCATTCCAGAGCCTTATTGCTGAGGTCCTCTCACCCTCTTTCCATCTCCTTTGAGTAGTACAGCAGTAAGGACGATCTATCTTGGCTATTTTTGTTCTGTTCATCCTTCTCTACAAAATGCAAATGTGCTTGACCCTTTGACTATGGGGACTCAGACTGCCCTCTGCCACCCCAATGTCCACCTGTAACTTCTTCCTAGACCCTTCCTGACCAACAGGCTTGGAGCTACACCACCACTTACTCAGCATAAGCAAACATTTGACAAATAGCAATGTATTGTTATCCTTACTTTTTAACTTGTCCAGTTACCTTCAGTGATTTTCTTAGGGCACATATTATTTATGTTTGGCACTGGCAAAGCCTTAGAATGACTTAAATACTACCGAGAGCAAAGATTTCATTAGCCCTTCAGATTCTTTCCCTCCCCTTTGCCCATGCTCAATACATTTTGAAGAGGAGAGTGAGAGATTGGTTGGGGCTCAGCTTCTTCTTAGTCATTTCTAGAAGGAAGAAGTTAATTATTTGGAATGTAAAAATCTGCTTCTCAGCAGTGTAATTTCTCAATTGCAGTAATAATAATAAAAAAAGACCCACGCAACACCCCATTCTAATTATGGTAATTAAAGACTCTCACTGTATCACTCTGCTGTGTGAACTGATTCTGGAAAGCTACATAGGAAGTCCACGAAGCAACAGTTGCAGGTGCCCCCACCCTCTGTATCCCTTCTGAGGTCTTGGGAGAGGCCTTAGCAATGTGTTCACACAGTCCTATGTTTTTATAAAATTTGGTCAAATAATAATGTGTGTATTTTCATGTACATGCTTTGGTGAATATGTAGTGTGTGTGTGTGTGTGTGTATGTGTGTATGTGTGTGTGTGCGTGCATGCTGTTCAATGGTGGGTGAGTCTTTCTCAATCACTTAGCTTGACTTTTCATTTTTTTGCTTGACTTTTTATTTTTTTTTGAGACAGATCCTTATTGTAACAAATACTAATCTCAAGTTCACTATGTAGAGAAGGATGATGACCTCAAACTCCTGATTCTCCTCTCCTCACCTCTCAAGTGCTGGGAGTGTAGACTTGTGCTATTGTACCTGGTTTATAGGGTACTGGGGATTGAACACCAGGCCTTATGCACGTGAGGCAGTAACTCTGCCAACTGAGCTGTCTCCTGAGCCCTGTACTTTAGTCTATGAGGAAGGTCTCTCACTGAAACTAAGCTCCTCAGTTTGGCTACACTGACTGGCCAGAAAGCTGTAAGAATTCTCTTGTCTTTGCCTCCCCCAACCTGTGTTCTTGGTGGTAGGGTCACAGATGTGTGCTGCCCAGCTTTTATGTGGGTGCTGGGGATCCATACTCAGCTCCTCCTGGTTTAATAGCAAACACTTTAGCAGCTGAGCTATCTTCCCAGCCTCACACATAAGAAGAGTTTTCAACCACATTTTATTGCCTCTTCACACTGTTCTTCTCCCCATGAAAGCTGGAATTGGTGTGGCCAAAATACATCTGAAACTTAGAGCTGACCTAGAGAGAAGCAACCGCTTTACACTTACAATCAAAGCAGTATTGACATAGGTATTGGTTTGAAAGAAAATGGCCTCCAAAGGGAGTGGCACTATTAAGAGGTGTGGCTTTATGGAAGTAGGCGTGACCTTGTTAAAGGACATGTGTTATTGTGGAGGCAGGCTTTGAGGTCTCCTGTGCTCAAGACATGCCCAGTGTCTCAGACCACTTCCTGTTGCCTCCAGGATCAACATGTAGCCCCCTTTTCACTTTCAACTCCTTCTCTAGCACCATGTCTGCCTGCATGCTGCCATGATGATAATGGACTAAACTTCTGAAATGATAAGACTTCCAATCAAATATTTCCCTTTATAAGAATTGCTGTGGTGTCTCTTCAAAGCAATAGAAACCCTAATCAGCTGAGCAACAGCATCCACCTCTTCGTTTGTTTCCTGATTATGGACACAAAGGGACTAGCCACTCACACTCCTTCTGTGTGCCTTCTCTGGTGTACTTGACTGTGTGCCCTCAAACTGTGAGTCCAAATAAACTCTTTTTTTATGGTTCTCTGTCAGACAGCTTGTCACAGAAACTGGACAAATGATGAAGACAGGGACTTTTCTTCTTCTCTCCTTCCCCCACCTTGGGAAAAAGTTATGCTAAGGACAGGGAAGGCGTCTGTCATGGAGCCTTGAAGGGAATATATAGAGATGGTCAGGACCAGGAAGGCGCCCTGGTTATGGGAAGATGGTGTGTTCAGTGCTCTGTGAGACTATCTCTGCTCATTCCCAGTGAAGTCAGGGTATCTGACTATGTCCTGTAGCATTCTTTACTGAGACAGATGTGAGAGATTTTGAGATATTGAGACCTTCAGAAACCCTTGAATGATTCTATGAAGTCACAATGACAAGGCTCAAAGCAGGAGCAGAGTATAACTTACACGGAAGCACTCATCATAAACCAATGATGGACTCCACCGTTTGCAAGCTGGCTGCCGGGCACAATAACAGATCGAAGCGTACATTGACCACTTTCCCACTGAGTTACTCTGCTGTTGACCAGCTGTTCAAAAACTTCACCAGGCTGAGGGACCATAAAAAAAAAAGAACATTCTTTCATTTTAATGCAAAAAGCATTCAGGTTAACCGTAGGAGGAAGAGTTGTTATTATGCAACTGCTTTGCAGCTGCTGTTCCGGGGGATCAGAAAAAAAGGGGTAAAGAACCCTCTCCCCGGAGAATGAGACTCCTGGACGGTTTCTAACTTGTCCACATGCGGTGATGCCATATAAAAGAAAAAAAAAAAAAGACTAACTCATAGTGTCATTTGCCCGAGAGTGGCCTTGGTTTTTTTCAGAAAGGTTTTGGTCCCCCTGTTCTAATCTAAACGGAGTCTATTCTAAGAGTCTTATCTAAGACGTAGTCTTGAGCAATGGCCACTGTCTTCATATGCTGAACAGCACGGCAAATATGGTGACAACAGGGAATGGGGAGGTACTCTAGTCTTATTCACTCTTCTACAGGGGGCTCAGAACAGCATTTTATGCCGGGCATTAAGGGTGCACGCCTTTAATCCCAGCACTCGGGAGACAGAGGCAGTTGGATGTCTGTGAGTTCGAAGCCATCCTGGTCTACAAGAGCAAGTTCCAGGACAGTCTCCAAAACAATACAGAGAAACCCTGTCTTGAAAAACGGAAAAAAAAGAACAGCACTTAATCCCTCTCTAGCCATGTGCTGTTTCAGTGTACTTTCGTGGGTGTGTGGTGGCAGCATCCGTCGAAGGGTGCTAGTCCTGGTCTTTGCATCTCAGGTACTCACACACACTGTTCTGAGTCAGGGGCATGAACGGGTCACAAAGGAGAAATAGAGAACGTGGTGCAGTTAAAGTTGGGCCTTATGCTGAGCCCTAGCCAGTAGGAGTTAATTACATCGGAGGTCCAGCGTATAGTAAGAGGGATTAGAGTGTTTTTCTTAGAGGTCAGTTGATTCTGAACAGGTTGAGCACATAGTATGTAAGCTGAATGAGTGCACAGATAGAAATGACCTCAAAGCACATTATTAACTTGCTTACAGGTTGGGTGAAAGTTTGATTTGCAAAGCCAAACTTTAAACAGCATTTCCCAGAAAAAAAAAATTCCCACACCCATAATGTTTGATGGCTTGTTTGAAATTTCCCACGTTGTAGACTTAGGGAATGGATACTCACGAGCTATTCTTATCCACACAGCCCAGCACAAGAGAACTGTGTGAACCTATGAAGGACCCACAAGAGGCTCAGAGTTGGCTTTCACCCAGATGTGAATCCCTTTCCTTGAAGAAACCGTCAACAACACTAATGTATACTGGAAAAAGCTGAGAGCCGAGCTTACCTGTGGGGAAGTCTTGACGACTAACTGGGAGGCAGGGTAAACTCTGGGGTGATCCAACTGTTCTCTTTGATGAGGGTGTGCTATTTGTTGAATCCGTTGTTACGTAGTCCAGATCTGTGTTTTCACTGTATGGCAATTTGACCTCACTAAAAAAATAAAAATACAGCGTTAGGAAAAGTTACTTAAAAAACTTGGGAATGGTCAGGACTCACCCCAGGACTCATTCCAAACCATCCTCAGTGTTGCCCACCCACAGCATGTAGAGAATGACATCATCAGGACTCTGTGAGGCAGGAGGAAGAGGACCTGGGTTCTTGAGCAGACTGCACTGGCCTTTCCTGGTGGGTGGTTTCATTTCCCCCCTCTTTTGTGCATAAACTGAGCAAGTTTTACAAGGCACTTGCTAAGCTCAGACAGCGTGTCCCTACTATCTGAGACACAGCCTGGGCCTGATGACCTGGAGGTGTAACCTGCTTTGGCAATTCTGTGAGCTGAATCTCTTCCACATGTCTGGCGGCAGCCCTGCGGGGGAGAACCCGGCAATCTGATTCCTCCAGGAAGTCCACTGCTCTGTGGCTGCTAAAATTAGAACCAGACTGCAGCCAGATCAAGGCCATTCCTTTCCCAGTCCCTCGGTGAACTAACGCATCTCCCTCCGCCCTGCGCAGTACAAATGTGCCGGTAATTATAGTTACATGAGGGCCAGATGAGCTGGGGGTCTGGAGAAAGAAAGCAGGAAACAGAGCTGGGTTTCTGGGAGACTCTGACCCTCTAGACAAAGAGACAGAGAAAGTGAAAGGAAAGGGGGTGGGGTGGGGGGAGAGGAAGATGGGGGTGGGGGAGCAGTGAAAGAGAATTTAGAGCCACAAAGACAGCAGTTCATCCCTTGAAACAAAAACCCAGCTTCCCCGCAAACAGGGATAGAGTAGGACCTCACTTTTAGTCTAGCACAGAGTATAGTGGCCTGTTTTTGTGGGGAAGCAGGGGGCAGGGCTAGGCTGGGCTGGCCTTGAAACACAGCTTGGCTGCAGATTAACTGTGGCCCTGAGCCATTTCCTTCCCTGTGCACATCTCCTTTCTTTATGGACACCACGTAGAGTGTGAGTGCAGGTGAGTATCCAGGAGAGCCCTTCAGAGGCAGGCGGGAAGGTGGGAGGATTCTAGGGTTAGCAGAACAGGCTTGCAAACGATTTCTTTAAGAAAATGTGCACTGCCTTTAACCCCAGACTCGGGAGGCAGAGGCAGGTGGATCTCTGTGAGTTTGAGACCAGCCTGGTCTACAGAGCAGGTTCCAGGACAGGCTCCAAAACAACACTGAGAAACCCTGTCTCTAAAACCAAAAAAAAAAAAAAAAAAAAAAAAAGCGTGTGCACGGGTGTGTATATCTGTCTCTGTGTCTCTCTGTGTGTATGTGTGTGTGTGTGTGTGTGTGTGTGTGTGTGTATGTGTGTGTGTGTGCGCGCGCGCCTGAGTTCATAGAGGCTAGAAATATGCTGGATCCCCTGGAGTTAGAGTTACTGAAGTTGTTTTTCTGGCCCATCGCAAAAGCCCTTCTAGTCTGGTTGGTCTTAGATTAGGCTTTAGGAGCAGGGTCTCATTTCCTGGAGGGGGTGTTCCTTCCTGAGGTTCCACCTAAGTGACCAGCCATCCTACAGGCTTGGAGCAGAGGGTGGCACTTAACAAGTGTGTAGCCTGGGCCTTTCCCTTCGACCTGGCCATGGGTATAGCGGGTGGCTTCTGATCGGCCATTTCACCTTGGACCCGTGCTGCTTTGGCTTTCCGTGCTGCTTCTACTGTCAGAGGGACACACCTGCCCTGCTTGCTGCTGCAGAGGCCCTCTGTAACACCAGATTTAAGTGCCGAAGACGCAGCAGATGCCGAGGAGGAGGCTTGTTTATTGGGATGGATTGGAAAAAAAAATGGGGACTGAGAAAATGGCTCAGTGGGCCGAGTATTTGTGGTATAAGTGTGAGGAACTGCCTGATCCCCAGCACCTATGTAAAGGTGGGTGTGGTGACGAGCACGGAGATGTGAACTCCAATCTTCAGAGCCCACAGTAAGGCAGTGCCATCTATAATCCCCACGCCCCTACTGTGAGATTCGAAGCCGTGGTCACCAAAGGAGACACGATCTCAGATGAACTGGAAGGTGAAGACCAACATCCAACATTGTTCTCTGCTCTCCATATGTACCTTGGTTTGCACATTCCCATTCACACACATGGACATGCACACACATGCACACGCACATACCACTTATATATGAATAAGTATACATCCACACACCACACTCACATGAACAGGTACACACCTATACACCACACTCACACATGAATGAACGGGTACACACCCATATACCACATTCCACACTCATACATGAACTGGTACACATATGCACACATGCACACACACTCAGGCACACACCCACATACCACAGAAACTGGTACACACATTCATATACCACACACACATTATGGGTACACACACACATACATACACACTCACATACCCATACGCCACTCTCACAGAGGACTACTCATCTGAAGACTTCTGCTTCCCTTTGGTAAAACCTCCCTGGAGATGCTGCTTTTGTATTACCTCATGTTGGTTATATAAAGACCCACTTGATGAATTTCTCCTTGAAGACAGTGCCAGGAAAAATTTCTCTTTTCAGTTCGATTCCAAATCCTTTGTACAATGAAAAGTGTATGCGCCAGCACATTTTCCTTTCATCCAGGAAAGCCAGAGATAAATCCAGCACTCAGCTGTAGTAAACAAGTCATCCCAGGTGCCTTGAGACACACGGTTCTGTTTTCACTCCAGCTTATTCTTCTAACCGTGTTGGGCTTTTGGTGTTCTCTTAAACTCTCTTGGGAAATAGTGAGATATAAATTTTTTTCCAAATAAATCCATGCATGCAAACACAAATGCTTCGACTGGATGAACAATTGCTGTCTCTTCCTTTCATCTCTTTCTTTTTCTCCTTCACCTTATTTTTGGTTTTATGAGACAGGGTCTCACTATGTGGCTCTCCTGGAACTCTGGAACTCACTATGTAGACCAGGCTGGCTTCAAACTCAGAGATCCCCCTGCCTCTGCCTCCTGAGTGTTGGGATTAAGGCATGCATCACCATCACCGCGGGGGTGGGGGGGCCCTGCTATTGCTGTTCTTCCTACTGTGTCTGCTACCACAGCCTTGGCCCAGGAAAAGTGCCAGGCACTGGGTGTGTAGTGAAGGAATGGTTCTGCCCATGAGTTACTTACGCTTGATCTGTTGAGGGTTCAGGCTGGTGTGTAAAGTGTTTAAATGCAAGATAGCGTTAAAAAAAAAACAAACAGGTGACAGGGCTGGGCACGATGACTTAGTTCAGTGGTTCTCAACCTTCATAATGCTGTGACCCTTTAGTTTTCAGTTCCTCATGTTGTGTGACCCCAACCATAAAATTATTTTTGTTACTACTTCATAACTGTAATTTTGCTACTGCCATGAATCACAGTGTAAATATCTGTGTTTTCCGATGGTCTCAGGTAATCCCTGAGAAAATGTCATTTGACCCCAAAGAGGTGGAGATCCACAGGTTGAGAACAGTTGGCTTAGCAGTTAAGGGTACTGGCTGCTCTTCCAGAGGAACAGGACTCAGTTCCCAGCTCCCACGTGATAGGTCACAAACATAGGCAACTCCAGTCCCAGTATACCCTCTTCTGGTCTCCATGGGTACCAGGCACATACATGGTACACAGACAGATGAGCAAGCAAAACACCCACCCACCCCTATGCATAAAATAAAAATAAACCAATTAGTTAAAAATCAGACAACAGAGAAAGGGACCGAGGAGTCCAATTGGAAGAGGTTGGTTCTGCGAAGACCCGACAGAATGGGGGAAGCTTCCTGGAGAGAGGCTTCAGGATCTGCTAGGGAGGATGAAAAGCATTTCAACAGCAGAGGTTCTCTGACAAAGAAAGCAGTTCAAACGAGGGCTTGTAGGGGAACCAAGAACTGGTTGGCCCTCTGCATTTGGGAAGAGCACGGGGAGTTGAGCAGTGCTTGGTGGGGGCTAAGGACTCTAGTGTTGAACCAAGCTGAGAAAGAGACAGTTTTGGAATAGGTAACCGGGCTACAGAGCTGTTAAGTAACAGAAAACCAGGTCTCCTCTGCAATCTTGTACTTATTTTGTGACTTGGAGGTTTGAGACTGGAGATATAGAGAAGGGGCTCCGAGATGCCAAGCTCCAGAAGCTTCTTTTGGGAAATAGGAAGTGAAGTTTGGGGTTTCTTTTTTTCTCTCCTTTGCTGAATGGGTGGATGAGGGTGTCAGAGAGGAGGAAGGGAGGAGCCCCACCCCAGTACCATTTCAGACTGTTTCCCTTAACAACCCCACAGATGGATTTCCATGCAGTCAAATTCCCTTCCCGGTTCCTTTTCTGTTTTCGGAGGGGAACAATGAGGGAGTGAGGGATAAGCAGTGATGTTTATCTTTCCAGCTCAGAACTTTGAACCGCTGGAATCCCCCAGGGCTGGGGAAGGGTGGGCGTAGTCACTTCCCACTGTTGCCAAGGGTGGGAGACCAGCACCTCCCACTGGGGCAGGGGGTGCTGTGGCTTCCTCGTAAATAGGAAATGTATCTCCCTGAATGGGAGTCATCAAGGACTTATCTACAACAACAGGCACCAGAGAGGAGCCCTGCCCCATCCTTTATTCCAAAGAGAGGAGCTTGCCAGAGGCGAGAAGAGAGGATCACTCTGGAGAACCAACCCCAAGGGCTGTCATTGAGAAGGAACCCTCTTCCTGCCAGACTTCCCACACTGGCCTCTGCCCCTCCTGGAACACTTTATGCAGGAATGGGAGGTGTTTAGATAAAAATCCTAGGGATTTGACACTGGTTCCTTGTAGGACTGAGAGCCAAGGGGAATTTTGGGCTATTTCTTGGCGTGAGTAGAGAATTCTGGGTCGAACATCTCCGCTCTTAGAGAAATTGCCCTCATATTTGAGCAGCAAGCACTTTATTGACTCAACCATCTTCCCAGACTGGATTCTTAATAAAAACATTGAATGTGGCCAGGTATTTATTTCAAGGGTTTACATTGGCCTTTGTGCATTCCTTAGGTTCCCAATTGTTTGTCCTTCCCAATGCCAGTTCTTTTTTTTTTTTTCCACTTCCCCAAACCAAGGGCTGGTTGACCCAGTTCAAACCATCCAGTCAGTGTCTTGACACCTGTTTAATGTACTTAAGGAAGTAGCTTGGGAAATACCGAGATCCCCGGGCTTTGTTTTGTGTCAGAGCATGTTAATTTTCCCCATGGAACTTTTGATCCATCCTGACTTCCCTTCGTGTGAGCCCAGGCTGTGTTGGTAGCCCAGATCTGTAACAATGAGGAAGAAGCAGAAGCAGAGCTGGGTTAGAGGCAGAGACAGTTCCTGTACTATCAGATACTCTATCTTGAATTTTTAAATAGTGCTGGTGGTGATGGTGTGACATCTGGGTGGTCTCAGTGGTGAGGTTAGGGACTCGGGGCAACAATGACTTGCTAGCCAGTGGCCATGTATATATATGCACTCCTAATGTTAGAGCCAGGACCTACTGGTCTTCTAACAGATCCCTCTGGAGCTGTCCCCAGATCTGTGTCCTCAGCTCTGCTTGTCCTTAGTTCTTCTGGCAGGGATGCTGTGAAGTGCTGATTAATGAGTAGCAGCACCCTCCGAAGCTCAGCATGGAGACAATGTCTGGACTTGCTCCAGGAATCTGAAGCATGCACCTGAACAACTGACCTCACCATGTTGTTGTAGGCCACGCCAAGGCTCCCTTCCTTGGCAAAAGGTTCTGTAGCTCTGCAGGCACACTTGGGGGCGGCAAGTACCATCTGGAATACTGGGGCGAGAC